CACACCAAGAAGCTTGCCTAGCGTATCATCACCAAAGAGTATCTCCAGCTGACAACAGTTCAAAGTCTCCGCCGATAAATGCTGAAACACATTACACATGGTGTAAAGGGCATGAAAAAACAACTCTCTTTTTTCCACATCAAATTGCATGAGACCAACCATTCTAGAAGGAACACAAGAAATACAGTCTATTTGTACTGCTCTGTCACCTGCCTTTCTTCCATCTGCTTCTTTCTTTAATGGGAAGAGCCTGATGACCAAGCCCAGACAAGAGAAGTAAGCTCAAGCATGGCTTTCTTGGCTAACGCGTTCAGTTGCTTTCTTGGCTAACGCGTTCAGTCGCTTTCAAGCCACGGTTCTGGGCTTCACCAGTCACTTTTTGCAGATTCTCAGAAGAGGACCCAGAAAAGCAGATTCATACACACTATGAAACAATCATTTTCAGCACCATAATCTACGTCTGCTATCACTTTTTGTTTCCTTGTGATCAGTAGCTTTTCTTCTAAATCTTGTTTCCTTTTTCACAGCATTTTCTCCTAACAAACAGTGGTTGCTACGTATCTTCTGTCGTTACCTTTAGTCTACGCAACTCAAACTCTCCTCCGTTCTGTGGTTTCCTCAAGATGTAGTTCAGTCGAAGAGAAAAAACAGAAACAGCAGAAAGACGCTTGCTGCACTTTGGGCGTAGATACTAACATTTCCGTGTATACCTAGGCCACATTCAAGCAGGTATGTTTGTGTTTGTATTTGAGCCTGTAGTGGATGTGCAGCACTTCAGTTAGTAGTTTAAATGTGTCATTGGAAAATGCAATGTTCGTTACCAACAAAGGACGACTGTAAATAATTTGTTGCTTCAGCTGTTAAGGCTTTGGTTTTTTTCTGGTTCTGCCCTTTCAATTCCTCTATCTCCTCCCACATACTGCTATTTTTATATATAGCCAACACTACCAGATGTCACTTTGTCATCTGCCACCAATACACCATCACCCTTTTCTGATGAGGTTTTTGCTACTTCTGCTCTTTAGGTTATAACTAAGGTTTCTGGCATTGGGAAAGCTAGGAACTAGAGAAAGAGGTGTTAAAAAACAAAGTCTGAACTAAGACTCCATAAATGTAAACAGTTCTTCCATCATGTTTTTAGTTTACATGATAAACTAAGCTAAATAAGCTAAGGGAAACTAAGCCATGTAAGCTGATCTCTCTCTCTCTCTCTCAAAAAAAAAAAAAAAAAAAAAAAAGAGAGAGAAAAAAAAAAAAAAATTGCTGAAAAGGACACCATTACCCTGCTGTGGGACAGGATTTTGTATGTTTTTAGCAATAGAAAACGTGAGAGTGATAGGGTTTGGGGAAGGCAGAAATGGTGATTTGACTTTTTCCTTCTTTTTGCACTTGATGACATGACTCCAGTGTTCTCAGTCCCAAAGAACAGTGTCTGTCAGAATGACATCTATCACTGTCAAAAAATTAAATATAAACAAAACCCAAAATATAAACAAGTCTGCAGATGGAAAGAAGAATTCGGGAAACATCTCTGGGCTGCAGAGGGATGCATGAATAAAAACCCTTACAAGACGCCTTTTTCAAATATTTATCCAATGACCAAATGAATGGCCCACTGGCTCAACATATAAAAATAATTCATTAAGACAATGATGCATGAAGGGACAGGTTTATTACATCTCCTACACCTTTTTGTTTCTGAGCCGGTGACCAAAGCAAGTCTCCTCTCCCCCCCCCCCCCCAAAAAAAAAAAAAAAAAAAAAAGAGAGAGAAATAAAAAATACAATTGCTGAAAAGGACACCATTACCCTGCTGTGGGACAGGATTTTGTATGTTTTTAGCAATAGAAAACGTGAGAGTGATAGGGTTTGGGGAAGGCAGAAATGGTGATTTGACTTTTTCCTTCTTTTTGCACTTGATGACATGACTCCAGTGTTCTCAGTCCCAAAGAACAGTGTCTGTCAGAATGACATCTATCACTGTCAAAAAATTAAATATAAACAAAACCCAAAATATAAACAAGTCTGCAGATGGAAAGAAGAATTCGGGAAACATCTCTGGGCTGCAGAGGGATGCATGAATAAAAACCCTTACAAGACGCCTTTTTCAAATATTTATCCAATGACCAAATGAATGGCCCACTGGCTCAACATATAAAAATAATTCATTAAGACAATGATGCATGAAGGGACAGGTTTATTACATCTCCTACACCTTTTTGTTTCTGAGCCGGTGACCAAAGCAATAATGAAAACCTTAATCCAGAATACATTTACAGCAAGTTTAGTTTCAGGTTCTGAAATGAAAAACACAATGTATTTGTGCTGTTAATTAAAATGCTGTTTGGTTCTCCTCCCTTCTCATACCCCGGGTGATTCTCTAACCTTGCAATGGCATTTTCCGTACAGTGATGCTTAAAAAACTACACTAAACACAACATAATCCTAAATAATAATTCATTTTTAATTACATGTTATAGAATACCTTGCAAACAAAAGACACTCATTAAGATTTACTGGCGGGGGTTGTATTTTTTGGCAACCCTGGAACAAACCAGAAGAAAAAGCAAAGAATTATTCTATAACCATAAGGGAAAGAAACATCCATCTAAATGTAGAGGATTCATACGGCAAAACTTAAACTAAAGAAAAAATCCACACTTACAGCAGATTTTTTTTTAATTCTTAGTGCAAGAAACATAACCAAGTTAATCACAGAATCAGTACTAATTAAGAATATGGAAAATTCTCCTATACAGAGGTAGAGTCCAGTGCACAAGGCTAAAACGATATTCAATAGTCTAAACAAGACTGAGCCAGGTTTTACGGAATCCACTTTTTAAAGTATCAGACTGTATGTACATACATACAATAAATAGACTATACAATCTTTAAAGTAGTTTAATAAACTTCACAAAAATTATAGTAGATGCATTGAGATCTTTACATAATCCAAAGTTCATATCTCTATCACCCAGAAATGGATAAAACCAATATTCCTGATATCAAGTTAAATGGAAAATAGTTTAGCAAAGTGTTGATAAATCAAAATATTTCACATATTTTAAAGCCTAAATTTATGCTTATAAAGGATGAATTTCAAATGCTCTGAAAATGTTCCTTTTGATACTATCTGTAAAGAGGTTCCAAATACTGTAATTTGCATTTTTATTGTTATAAACACTTTCCTTACATTCCACGTTCAAGGGAAAAATGGACTTGGATACTCACAGTTCTGATGCATTGGCACAAGAAGAAGTGATGAGAATTAGATTATTTTAAAGGCCCAAAGGACATCAGGAGAATTTATGGACAAAACCTTCATGTCTCAAACTACACAAATCACATTAGAAAGTTAACAGAAAACTGTTTGGTATTACTATTTCAATCCTGTCAGTGCCTCTCTGCCCGGAGGCATCCGATTAGCATTGCACTGGAAGTCAAGTGTGCATCTCTGGGCCCCTAGGTTTGCTACAAGCCCATAGGGCTTAATAAAACAAATACGGAATCTTTATGGTTTACCACAGTAGTGCATAAATCAGGGACGTCTGTTGCCATTCATTTCAGTGAGAGTCGCAAAGAAAGGATTTCAGGGAACTGCGTTTCCAGCTATATCTTTCTAAACTGTGCAAAAAAAATGGGGAAAAAAAATCACCCTGGGGCATTATAAAGCAAATATCCTTATACTGACAAGTTATTTTCTATAAAAGGTTCTTACAAATTCCAAGGGGGCAACAGCCATAGTAAGAGGGAACTGGTAACAACAACAGAAGAGCTTAATAATCAGAGTTGAAAATATGTTCACAGCTCGGTTACTTTTAATTTCTATAAGCACCTACACTGAAAAACACAAGGGTTTGTATTTTAGCTTCAAAATCAAATCCACTGGTGACAAATACCTTGTTAAGTTTTCCATTCTGCTCTTCTACAGGCCTTCTCACTGGAACAATTTTTTTTGTTATTTTTTATTTTATACAAACAGACTCACTTTGATTTAAAGTAAACATATAAAAATTGAGAATATTGCTTGCAACAATGGACCTGGAGGTGAAGGAATGAACTAGTCAGGCCATACAAAAAAAAAAACCAAAACAAACTCCCTCAAAATGAATTCTGCTAAACTTCTAATGCTATGAAAATCTGCAAAAAGGATCACAAGATCTGTTGCAAATTTCAGAGATTTGGCCCAAGTCTTATCATCATCATCTGAATACTTTAATAACTGTATCTTTATATTAAGGAAAAATAAATGATTCCAAGAACTCAGGAAGGCACACGCACCCAAGTATACTATAAATAAAACACAACATGAAATTAGGAAGATCTTCTGATCCCTGTACACACTTTTGGTTCAGCACTATGGTCAAGTTCTCTCTTCTGAAATACAATAAAAGGCATACAAGAAATATAACATATGCATAATTATGAAGAATAATGCTAATAAGACAGCTTACAGAGAAAAGTGCAGTGAAAAAACCCAACGCTATTTATTCAGGGGCTTGTGCTACTGTAAATAGAGACTTCGTATTTGCTGCTGTGCAAGGGGAAGAATTTATCCTGGGAAGCAGCAATGAGGAACGCAAAACCCAAGAAAAAATAAAAAAGATATTAAGAGACACCTTTAGGATGGAACTCTCCCTACTTCATTCCTCTAGTGCACGGTCATCTGACTACATGCTTTGTTTTCATGCTGCCATTTCTCTTCATGAGTACAGCATATTAGAAAATGGCACAGTTCGTAAATATTTTTCTGCCTCTACTTTATTTTTCTGTTTCTTCTTCCAAGCACCTGATTTGCTGTTTCCTCATAAAAAGGGTAAAGCTGTTAGCGAAAAGTGAGAAAAAAGTTGTTGCTCATCTTCTCTCCCAAACACCGATGTCTCCGCTTCTCCTTCCACTAGGTATTTTATTCGTGTGCTACACAATGGGGAGGCACTGTAAAGGCAGCTTGACAGATTTAAAAATAAAAAAATCAAAAGTCTTTTTTCTTTATCCCCCCGCCCCCAGCCCACCCCGAAAAAAATGGATGGATGAAACAGTATGTCCGTAGGAATATTCCAGTCTCCTCTGTTAGGAGATAATAGCAGGGGACCATCTAACCACAGTCAGATTGTCAGCACTGACTGACCGTTTCTTTGCGGCTTTCCTGAAGTCCTTGTATTTATCTTCACACAAGCAGGAGATGGCCTATAAGACAAAAGAATGAGAAAACCTCTATTGCATTGACCACAGCTGTACAGGTAAAATAAAACTAAATGCAGATTTCCACATATAGGTAGAATTACAAAAGGTCACTTCATTAAGCAAAACACGTGAAGAGCTTCTCCCCAAATCGTCTTTCTCAATCTTAAAAGAAAGAAACACACTGACATCGCGTTGCCCACCACAGCTGCTTCTGAAGGGCTCCGTGAGCGTATTCCAAGCCTTTTCTTTACAGGTTAACCATCACCAATCTCATCGAGGTAGCTGACAGTGCTTACCTGCTGCTATAAGGTAACTCATATGTAGCACTTCATTGGTGAAAAATTGTGGAAAACTTAATAAAGCCATTATAAAAATTGTACATATATTTGGACAACTTATAAAGAGGGTGGCTCTTAATTTTTTTTATTTCCTAAAAGGTCTTGTAGTAATTATATTTTTCTCTACTGATAAATGGTCTGGCAGAATACTCGCCCTGCTTTACTTACAGAGCTGATGTTTGCTTGCCTTTCAGAAGGAGATGGTGATTTCTATGTGATCAGGCTATCTTATATGGTGCCAGTGGGAAACATAACTCATATTCAGAATAATTTAATTTGCATTAAAAATACATAGGAATGTTAAAAACCTTTTGAAGAGAGAGACAAACATTATTCAAATGTCGACTCCTATTATACTACACTGGAGTTAACATTTTATGTTTCTTCTACTGCTTTTAGCCAAGTTTAAAACAAATATTTATTACAGACCTCATATGCACAAATATACTGTGCGCTAAAACAGCATGTCCATTAGAGTTCGTATGGCTGGGACAGGCTATGGTTGGCATCAGTAGGGCTGTTAACTCTGGTGATCAAACACACGGAACTGCAGAGAAAGCTCACTGCAAGGAATATTCAAGGTCAAATTAAAAAATAAGATGAACTAAAACAGTATTTTTATTTACTCAGGAATGCTTTTAAGTGGTGTCTTAAGATAGGATATTTAATAAAAAGTACTGTACAAACAAAACCAGTACAAGTGTTTGATTATAAAACAAGGCAATACAAAGAAAGAGCCTGACTCCACTGATCATAATTTTCTTTCTTGATCTTTACTTCTATAGCACAGCAAGTTGTAGCAGTGAAGAGTCCTTTAATTTTAATAGTCCTGCAAAGACGAGAGGAAGGTATGACAGAAGCACACAACTCATACATCTGAGAGCAAGTTCACCCAACGCTTTGGTCAAGCCAGCCACAAAGCGTGGTTAAATTAAAAACAAAACAAAACAAAAAAAACAAACACAAAAAAAAAACCCAAAAAACAAACAAACAAAAAAAACCAAAACAACACAAAACCTACCACCACCACTAAGAAACCAGTTGCTACTTTTTAGCTGGAAACTGAATTTCCTTTTGTTAAGACCTTTCTCGGACAGAGTTTTCTTTCTTGGTGCACATGAAGAGAACAACACAATAAACTAACACAAATATTCCCATTGCTTTGTAGACCATAACTTAACTGCTTAATAACATTTTATTTAATTTAACCAGGAACCCAAAGGATTAAGAAAGTTTATGCAGTTCAATTGGATTTAAAATCCAATAGATGAAAAGCATTCAATCACGAAATAATGTGCCAAGGCATGGCTTGGCAAATAGGCGTACTGAGGTGGAGTTCGGCTTCTTTCAGCTGCCAAATCAGGCTATTACCTTAGGCATCAAACAGCCAGAGAAGGTAATCACTTCAAAATTTTCTGTTTCACAGGAAAACTTCTGTTCTGGCACTTGGTCAGACAAAACGAAATTTTGCTTGGAAGCGGCACTTAATATTTGGCATCTCTAGTCTCTGGTGATTAATCATATGGATAAGAAACACAGTGACTGCTGTTTGAAGCAATCCTGTATCTAAAGATGCCTCTTCATTTGCAAATAATTTACAAAATTGACATTTGGAGCCTATTTGGCAAGTTATTTAGTCAACTTCAGCGTAACATATGGGGAAACAAGACAAAAGCAGAAAATTGTAAATATTTATTATTGTCCTTCAGTTAAAATAAATCCAAATAGCTTATAAACACCTTTCTGTCATCTGATATTTCTGTTGCTTTTATTGCTAGAAAAAGAAACCAATTTTTGACAGTTGCAAGGTACCATTTCTCATATGAAATCAAAACATTCTTTAAAACAGCAACACCATTCAATCATGTAAAATTTTGTTGGACTTGACTGCAATATCTATAATCAGCTAGAAAAATGCATACGTACGTATTCTTCCATTACATATATGCATACAGAACTAGAAGTCAGTTCCCCTGCTGAGTTATATGACTTTGATGAGACTTTGTCACTGGTGAGGGGGACAGGTAAGGAGAAAGGAGCGGGGAGAAAGGCAATAGTAGTAGTAGTCCTAGTATAAATTTTGGCTGCGTGCACGTGTTTGTGCAGGGCAGGAAAGCAGCAGGGCTGGCTATGGCTTCACGGCTGAGAATGCACAAAGGCGCACAACTGCAAGTGCCTCAACACCCCCAAAAAATGGACAAACCGGAGAGAACTCAGCAAGAACACAGAGCACTAAGTCTGGAAGGGTTACATATAAGGAAAATGTGAAAAGAAAAAAAAAAAATCACTAGAGCAACTAGGAGTTGCGATGATGGGAGTTCTCCTTAATTTATGGAGAATGAAAAGAAGAGCAATGGGGTTACTCCTGACGAAAGAGCCGGGGAGTTTTGCTCTCCCCTCGCTTCTTGGCTAAGAGGGTTCTGAACAAACAAAACATGCAGGATTGCAATCAATCACTGCAACAGTGGGAAGCTGGAGGGATAGAAAGACGTTTCTCTACTGGTAACTTACATATTTTTCTCCTCTTTTTTGTCTGTTTGATCTATGGGACTGTATCTCTTTAGGGTCAAGGAAATACAGCACGTAGTTCAAAGGGTTTGAACTATGTGCTCAAGCACTACCTTAAAAAGAAAAAGCTCAAACATACGGTCACTTAAATGGGGAGTGTACTAACGAATGCTCTTACAAAATCTAGCCTTGAAACGAGCACAGTGCTAAGATCACAAGCAGAAATAGGGTAGGCACGTTTTGTGGACTTACCCCAAAGAGCAGAATCTGACTCATATTTAGCTCAGTACACGGGAGAATAACCAGGTGCAAGAGTAGGAAATTACAAAATAGTGGATTAAGGTTGGATATCCAACAACCTTCTTGGCAGAAAAATCTCCCATATTAAAAAATAGTTCTCAGGAGAAGCAAAGGAAGCCTTGACATTTGACATAATTAAAAGGAAGGAGAAAACACACTACAACATATGCTGGTTGGAACAAACAGCATTGGCAGGTGGACAGACTGGATGATCTAATGAAAGGTTATTTGCCATTTTTAACTTGCATGATTCCATAAAATAGGGAAAAAAAAAAAAAAGAAGAGGGGTCATGAAAATGGTTTCTGGCTACTAGGTGGACTGGTATAACAAAGTCAGGACACTTTTAGGCCACAGGCTGACGAAAAGTAAGAAAAAATTCCTTTCACTTAGTCACTTAAAAGACAAAGCTGCTTCTTAAGTGCCAATTGTGGGAACATTAAATAAGGCAAAACATCCGCTACAGATGCTCCAGAAAGTGATGTCATTTTTAACAAGTACTATAACCTCTTATAACACCTCTAAGCTGATGGATCTTGTCCAGCATTTCTATTCGATGAGGAACAGTATTTACGAACTTTGTCCTTGGTCTTCTTGGTTTGTTTTTTTTTCATTACAGGTATGTCAACCCCATGATATTTGCAGAAATAGCAACGCAGGTTCTGCCGTGCCAGATCTAATACTCCTGCTTTAAATACATAAAATAGCTAACGCGAAAGTAACAAAAATGCGTTATAATATAACCAATTCTCTATGCAAGACCTTTTGTGATCTCCAATGTCAGTAAATAAGTTATTTTAAATCTTAGGACTTAGAAAGGTCCTTTCAGTTTATCAGACAAGGCACATCCTTCCACTGCATACGTACATTCGCTATGAGTCTGTTGTCTTTCATCACGGACTGCAGCTTTTCTCCCAGTATCAAAAATATCACTGCCTGTGTGGTACTACATCTACTCCCCTTGACAATCCAGGCAACCGTTTTAAAAACAGAATCTCTGGGCTGAACAGCACATGAGAGACCTAGAAAAGTGCTGCAAATGCATTTTGATAACTCTTGGCAAGCTAAATGCTTAACGGTGCTCAAGGAACTAGGCTATAAATTACGCTGTCACTAGTTTCAAGGGCACACTAATGACAACCAAGTATTGCCAGGGAACAAGGCAGTTCCCATCCTGCTCCCTTCCTTCTGGCCACAGAACAGAAGCAAGGAGCTGCTAGACCAAGCTGGTTTCACAGCAGATATTCATCCTCTTCCCTGAAGACATCCTCTTTGGCTAGCAGCGTTACTTCACAGCCAACTTCTGCTAGCAGCACAAAGCATCCCCAACATGGGAAAATTTTTAATGATATGGATTTATTGAAAAAAATATTCCATTATTTCTTTTAAAATCTGCCTTCTCTTTAGTTAGTACAGAAGAACCACTGGTATTCTCTGGGTATTTACAGTCATTTCCTATTTTCTTTTCTTCTAAGGTTTTAGGAGCTATCGTTACAGTCATTTGTAACCTGCTGTTATACATTGTATGTGATATAGATTGACAGTGTTGGGAAACACTGAGTACTAAATTCTCTTCAAAAAGTAATTCGTTCAATTATATTATATATAATGGCACTTATCATCAAGACTCACCATCTAATAACTTAGTAAACTACTTCTATTCATTTGAGATTACAATCCAAATGAATTTTCATTTTTTAAAATTCTTTTTAATAGAAACAAAATTTGATGCAAATTTACATCACACTCCATACATAGAATTAAGTTACATTCTTACTGGAGCTATCTGCGAAATTTAGAAAGAATATTTAGAAAGAATGCGAAACACAACTCTAGTGAAATCTGCTTTGATTCTTTCTCCACCACTTTCTGTTCCCATTACAGTCACAAACAAGTCAATTAACCTTCCCACGCACCATTTCCCCCCATAAAAACGTGTACAGTACTGCCTGCCTGTTCTACAGGAGCACTAGGAGCTTCAGAACATGCAAAGCTCACTCTAACCCACAGGCAAACAACCTCCAGGGCAAAGCTGTTATATAATTAAAGACGTGCGATGTTAAAAGCAGTTAGCATCTAATGACAAATTTCAGAATTAGTAACAAAATGTGTACATGCTCATGCAATAATGCCTTTATTTGAAAAACTTCATATCAGAAAGCTCAGGAAAAATAGATTCCAGTCTTGCAAAGTGCCCGCAGTTGGCTGATGATTTTAAATTCCTCCTGTGTCTGTGGGAATTCATAGTGCCCTGCATTTCACAGGTCCAGACCATCCGACACAGTGCTTTCTGCACATGGTATATTCAGGTCTCACAAGGATTCATGATTTATTCACTAAAGATGTGTGCCCCTTTCTGTTTTCCCATTACTAAGAACATCACCACGGGAGATAACAGACTTGGATCCACGTGAAGTGGAGCAGTAGCAGATAACAAGCACATGGAATAGTTATTTTCAGCAATACTTGTTAATATTCTGTCCTTTAAGGTGGATAATCAGTTTTAAGAAACCAAATGAACACATGAAACCAGACTGTGAACAGAGTCATTGTAAAACTTGGGGGTACTTTCACAAGGCCAATTCAGACAACTAGAACTGAAAAAGAAATGGAAAACAAGACAAGGTATGAAGGCAATTGGGCCAAAAAGCTGTCCCCACGTCCCTGAATACCCAAAGGACAAACAAAACAGTTATGAAAATCAGGGCACATGATAATCTAATATCTCATGGGAATATTTGGGAAGAGATGGGAAAAGGGAGAAACAACACAAAAATTCCAAATCCCACCATATATTCAACTCTGAGCAATCTAAAAAGAAAGTGTCTTACCTCAAGTTTATACGCCCTGTCCCTGCTGAGGGGCTCCAAAGGAAAACTCAGGTTATTTGCTTCTGCCAGGTAACGCAAATCAAAATAATACTTGGCATAAACACTGGAGGGAACATTAATATTGAACTGCAACAGCTCAAGAAACTGGCGTTCCAGCTCGTTCCTGTAGAAAGAAGATAAATGTGAAAACATATTTCAGACTGTGCATTCTGAATGTAATTTACTTTAAATTGCAAATGGTATAAACCAAGTTCATTTCTTATTCTTGCCAGACACAATTATCCTAGCCTAAGGTTTGACCTAGTCTACCAAGTTCTGTCGGCCTACATACACCACTGAGGAATATGAAAGATGCTGCACCTTGCAGCTGCTACAGTGATGCTCATCAAACCCAGACACAAACTTTTCCTAGTGGAAGGGCACCTTTATCAGTTTAGCTAATACAACATGGGAAAGAAAAGCTAGCAGGAAAAAAATTTTCTTGTCGTTTCTGCTGTACCTCCACTAGGTGGATCTGCAGACACGGCTATGCAAACACAAAACACAAACATGCCCTAAATTTGTCGGACATCTCTCAAAAATGCTGCAAATTACTCTAAGACCTAAATTACTGGAGAACTTATTTATTCTCTTCAGCCTTTCATAATCAATCATTTAAAACTAGTCATGGGAAACCTGAATTTTTCAGCGTACTGTCTTATCTATCTTTATGAACAAAATGAAGACATTTTTCCCTAGGACGTGCAATCAAAATTCACAGTGGTGATCATTTGTTTTTCCATACCTAAAACAAATGTGTTTGTCAAAATATCTGATAGGAACAGAGGTCCTATTTGAGCTCCCACCCCATGAAAACTTTGGTATAGCAATACATAATTTACTGGTGTAGGTAATAAAAAAGTATGTTGAGAAATAAGTAGATCAACAAAATTAAGGACTGGAAATTTTCATAAATGGCATGGTAACTAGATATCCTACATAATACTTATGTAGGGACATATGACATATTCAAAACAGCGATTTCAAGATACAAGAAATAAAAAAATACATAGGTAGTAAAAGCTGTTCGCATTTGCTGAAGGGTATATGGACTGCAGAGCTGTGTTACCAGCAGGTACTGACTATGATACTGCATTTAAGTTACATTTTGACTGCAGTGCAAGTGTGCAAGGAATGTGCAGGCAGTTGGCAATAGAAGAGGAAGGCTCTGAGGATAAAAAGTACTGGTACAGTAGTTTTTCAACACCGAATGATTTTTCTTCTCACTCTTTACTCTTACATCACTCTTACATCATAATCATTGTCCTTCCCTGCCTTCACTCTCTCTCTGCCAAAATGCTATATTTACATAATGAGAAATATTAATTAACATTAAAAGATTACCTAAAAGCTGGATATGGACTCTTTGGCATGAATTCACACTGTTGAAGATTCTAGCTTTTAAAAAATCCAAATTAAAAAAAATTACATTTTAAGACGTTTATCAACAAATACAGAAGATTATCTTTAAATGTCGTTTTATACTACCAATATTTTACTTTCTCCAAGCAAAGCCTAAAGATGTATGTTAATGGATAATATAAAGCCTATTTTAATGGAGGAAGACATTGGCTGTACCTCTTTTGAAAAGCATCCCCAAATGTTTAAGAACCTAGTCTCAGATCCTTACTATCCCCTACGTCCCAGATTTGAAGGTTAGATCAGCAGACTAACTACAGCTGAGAAAGAACAAAAAAATACAGGTATTTCGGATTTGAACTAATGTAATTTAACTAAGCACCATACCCTTCTTCCCCGATACATCCACATTAGACTACTTTAGCATACGCTTTCCTGCGGCCACTCCACAAACTCACACCGAAACTCAAGGTAATGCTACCTACATGACTACAGAGACATACTGCAGTTCAGTCCTCCCACGTCCTCTGTTAGCTTTTAGGCACAGTTCAATGTACTGCTGGTGACTTACAAAACTCAGAAAGGTCTACATGATGTTTTGCAAGATACGCTTATACTGAATGATTCACAGCAGTTGAAGATTTTGACCTAGAGTTTTTCTGCCTTACTAATATAAACAATGAAAGCCCCCGACTTGCGTAGAGCTAGACACTTCAAAGTTGTCATACTGTGCTGTCCCAACTACCTGAAAAATAAGAAAGAAAAAAAACATCCACCACACTAGCGACAGGAGGAAAAAAACTTTGGAACAACTGGCAGCAGG